ACTGTGCGCTGTATGTCTCAACGGCTCCGCACGGATCAACAGCTATAGAACGAAGCGTCGATGCTTATTCATCGTATCAGTGTATAGACCGACCGATTGCAGTATACCTGAAATCACTAAGAATTCTACGAGAATCTTTCCCAATTACTTCGGAGTGTTTGATCAACAGACATCGTATTACTCACTAGAGACTTCAACGCTCAAGTAAGATCCCTGAACGAATCAGAAAAGCTTCTTGGCGAACCGCATGCAATCCCAGCCAACCAGACGGACAACAAAGTTCGCCTAAATCAACTCTGCGCTAACCATGGATTTTTCCTGTCAAACACGAAGTTCTCGCTCAAGAAACAACACCGCCTAACGGACCATGCTTTGTTACGAGTTTAATTCTCTCCAAGCCTGGTAAACAACCACAATAAAGCCTATGATATAATGTCAGCAACTGTAGCAAATTGGCCTTCCAAGTGGAGCTCTTCAATCGCCCATCATTTCAACCACCAGCCGAGGGACTCAATGAATAAAAGAAGGAAATCCTTGAAGCTATGAAAATATTGATAAAACCAAAGGCGGACTTTAGCGCATGCCCGAAACAGACGATGGATCTCGTCGACCTTGTCTGTCATTCTGGACGTCCGCAGAACCCTTCCTTCTAATGCCACATGTGACAAAGCGTGCAAACCCCTTAAACACCAGCTAATGAAGAGTCTGAGGAATAATCAGGAGAAGTGGTGGCTAGAAGTGTGGAAAGATGGAAGATGCTGTTGCTATTCGTAGTAGTCGCAATCTGTTCCGTCTAATTAGGAATGGGTTCCCCAGGGAAATAGTCGTAAGTGAAGTGAATAAAGAATCTAATGGCACACTGATTCGTCATTAGTAACGTTTTGATCGATGGGCTAAACACTTCGAGGCTCATTTTAACTGGCCACCTCCACATCTAACCTTCCACCCACTCACTCTCCCCCCACGTCGACCGGGCAAATACTGCCATTTGATGGCAGTCCTCCATCCAAAATGTAAGTTTCCCGAGAAATAAGGCATTAGGCCTCCGGCTCAGATGGGCTGTTCCCGTCGGCGTTTAAGGAGGGAGGTTTAGAGTTAGTGTTGCAGTTGACGAAGCTGTTGGTGTCAGTATGGTCAGCAGGTTTAAACTGAATGGTGTGAGTCGGTCGTCTTACCGGTTTACAAGAAAGATGACAGATCCTCTCGTGAAAACCGTAGAGTAATACGTTTAATCAAAATTGCCTCCGAACTTATCGCTTTCATCATACTGCGTCGACTATCTGCCGCATGTGGAGTGTACGTGTGCAAATCAGACTGGGTTTAGACCCGGTCGAAGTTGTATCAACCATATATTTACTTCTCGCCAAATTCTAGAGCACCGACCTTTTCGTTTACCCACCGCATCTCTATTCCTCGATCTCAAAGTGATTTTTTACCCAGTCGGCGCTGCCTTTCCTTGAAGGATGTGCCCGAGAAATCTACTCAATATTACGATCTATCTATACTAATAGCTGAAGCCGAGTCCGAGCTTGCGGCACTTTTTCACCCGAGTTGCCTAGAGAAAGTGGTGTTTGACAAGGTTGCTCTCACTCCGTTTCTATTCGACTTTGTGATAGAAATAGCCGCATTCTCATGCGACGATAGCGGTATCAATTTACTCCCGGGTGGCAAACTGTCTGGTCTAGAGTATG